TCAGATGATCCAACAGGACTGAAAAACCTGCGTAAATAGGTTGTGCTGAGAACGAATGGATGAAAGTGAATGGGTTAAAGGGTAGACCGAAAGCACTGGCTACCAAGCCCACCATTCCGCACTCGCATGACAAGAGTACGGATTCCGTCATTCTGTTTAACTTCCCTATACCAACAGACTCACTCTTGGAAAAAAGAGAACTGTCCGACAAGATGTAGGACGACTACTTCATAAAGTTGGGAATAGAAAACATCACAGGCAACTTATCCCGAGGAATTAGAGTACTTTGAAACAGGCTCCCACCTCTCAGGGTATCAGCAATGACAGCGAAGCAGACGAAGCACGCACCGATGGTGCCGCGCCAACCGGACATTGCGGGCTCCTGCTCCATAAGGGTGAAACTAGAGAAGCCTTGGGTCGCCAGAGTGGTGGAGAGAAGGTCTACACTCAGTGATCTGTATAAGGTTGCAACCTAGGTGTGCACGGAATACTCGAACTGGTGGTTGGATTCATACAGTGTGATGATTACTTCCTCCGAGTCAAGCGGTCGAGGTGGCTAGCGGCTTAAGTGGGACTTGGAAATTCGCCTGCCTACAGCGTTTGTAGGTTACCGAGGCCTACGCACTTGCAGAGCATTCCCTCACCAAGATTGCTAGCTGTACTCTTTTACTGCAAAGGATCACTAACAGAAGCTCTCACGGTATGGTACCGTATGAAAAACCACATGGGAGATGCTGTACGATGCTGTGAGAGTAAACCATGAGCTGCTAGAGTAGAAGATAAGAGGCAACCTCCGAGAGCACTGCGAGCTGCACTGGTCAGAAAAGAACTAGCCAGCAGGCCACCTGTAGACACAATAAACAATGCCGTAACACTAACACCAGGATTCCAAGAGTGACCAAAAACGGAGGTCTGTCAGTGCAGTGGGGACTGACAGTCAGAATCTGATGCAACGGCACATCAGCATCCAAACACGTTCCCATATCGCACTAAGCCCAGAACGCAGCTCCTTCACATGCTTCTACAGCAGTGCAATAGGTCTGAGGAGTAAACTACTAGAGTTAAAAACAATGTGTCATAATCTGCAAGCAGATACAATTCTCACCACGGAGACATGGTTGTTATCAGACACCGTGGATGAGGAAATATCTTGGCCTGACATGACCCTTATCTTAAAGTCAGGGAAGTGACTGATGATGCATCAACTTACTACCAGAATCCTTATAGTGCTATTCCACCATAAACTAGACAAAGTACCTAATCTGGGTGGCATATAGGCCTCCCCATTGCACGACAGAGCGCAAGGCGCATCTGCTCAGTTTCATCGCAACAACCACCTCTGCAGCCTGTGACCATGTAGTCCTACCTGGAAACATCGACACACCGACACTCAACCCCGGGATGTGAAGTAAGATGTGGGCATAAGTCTTTCGAACACAAGCTTCGAAATACGTTCGTGGGAGCGGGACTCTTAAAGAAGGTTGGGGAAAACACCGTATGCCAAAGGATCACCACTCGACTACGCTCTAACAGACGATGATCTTTTGGTGGACGACATCTGTATCCAACCCCCCCTAGGTAAAAACGACCACGTCTTGGTAAGATTCTCTATGATCACCAAGGAGACACTACCAATAGTTGAGCCAGAAGCGTTCTGCTGTTACTGAAAAGCAGACTACCATCTCATGAACAACGAATTCCTGGAGGCTGCATGGCCACAAGAATGGCACTCACTATCGATAGACAAACACTGGATACACATCAAAGATATTATCTATAGCGCTATCAATAAGAGTGTTCCGAAAATTAGCAGACGGCCACCTCTCAAATAGTCTTGGGTGACTCGCGCAACCCAAATGCAAATAGACAGGAAAAAGAAGGCATGGTATCAGTGGCGTACATCACGCGAAGAATCAGATTGCCACAGTCACAAGACGTTACGCAACTTATGTAATGACAGACATACATACCAGAGTAACCTGGTTAAACAGTTAAGTTACAATCCGAAAAGTCCGCATCGGTTCATGTCACAACGTAAACCGACGAATAAGGGTTTAAACCCGATCACAGGGCCAGCCGGAGGACCTCTGAACAGCAGTGAAATAGTAGAACTATTGAGTAGTCGATTTGACGAGCAACTCAACCCAGTAATACATCCACCATCAACATCTAGTAATGTAACGAAGTCGCAGGACTGCCATACAAAGCTGATGAACGTGAAGATTCCGTCATACCAAGTGTTTGCGAAATTTTCAACACTGAGAATAGGGAAATCCCTGGGCTGTGACGACATAAGACCGGTTGTCCTATGCAACTGTGCTGAAGTGCTAAGCATACCCATATGCAACCTGTTCACGCACTCGCTGGAAGTAAGTAAACTCCCCAAACAATCGAAACGCACCATCCTCTCACCAATCCTGAAGGGAGGAGACCGAAAGAACCCGTGCAACTACACACCAATAACATTACTCTCCATACTTTCCAAGGCACTGGAAAGCCTGGTTTCAGATGTTGTTTGAGACCACCTGAACAGAAACAACATCGCCCATCCCACCCAGCATGACTTCAGAACCGGGCGGTCATGTGCCACAAACTTGATAACTGCTTGGGATGACTGTAACACTAGATAGGACAACAAACAACCAGCTCATGTTACCTTCTTGGACTTGGCTAAAGCTTTCGATAGCGTCCCACACTGCACCGAGCCCGCCAAACTTGCCAAAGTTGGTATCACTAAACCACTCTTAGCATGGTTTACCTAGAGGACAAAGAATTCTGCACTAAAGTAAAGAATTCAATCAGCCTGGAGGAACAAAAGAACAGGAGTTTCCTGAGGAGCGATCCTTGGGCCACTCCTATTCTTACTATTTATAAATGACCTCCCCACTAGAATCTCTTCATCTATCCTCTTATACGCCGACGAAATCAAAATATGGAGAACGATAGGTGAGGAAGAGGACTCTAGGATGCTCCAAAGCGATCTGTTGCAGCTGGAATAACAAAAACACAACAACAATATCAACATAGAACTAGGCATTACTGCGTAACGGTCCGAGTTGCCACAGCTCAGTACATCAAGTGGGAAGGTAGTGAGGTGAAGGGTGAAGATAAGAGAATGCAGTCAAAAGAAATATAAAGTACGAGAAGAAAGGAAAGAGGAGTGACAAAATGTGAGATTCAGTATAGTGTTGTTTAGATGAGGATAATGTGTGTAGGTGTACATCTGCGCCACTGACTTCGGTTCTCACCCATATCACCTAGGGTCTCCAACCACTGGCTCCTCTTGTCCCGTGGACCCCAACCACCTGGTCTGCATCGCCCTACATGGCTTAAACCAACAGTCAGAGACTTCATACATTGGTGCCATGTTTTAGTCTGGCCACCTCGGGCCTGATTCCAGCCTGGACCTACTTCGAATAACATTGTGTGACGAGACAATCGGTGACTAGGCATAGGTAGCATGTGTCCCAACCATCTCAATCTGTGAAGGTTCATAACCTCGTCAACTGACTTACCTCTACTCCCTAAAATTCCATACCTGACTTCTGTATTACTCACGTGGTGACACCACGGAATACGGCCTATACTACGAAGGCAACGGTGGTTAAACACCTGAAGCCTTCTCATATCTTCCACTTTCAATGGCCATGTTTCACAGTTATACAGTAGAACAGAGCGGACTGCTGTGCAGTACGCACCACGCTTAATAGACAATCGAAAATCACGGCGGTGCCATAGGTGGCGTAAGTTGGCGAGAGCCAACCGAACCTTATGTATTCTCGTGCAGAGATTTTATCGACCACTGAACCACAAGGTCTGGTCCTACTTCACGGGTAAGTGAAGTGATCGAAACACTCAATCACTACGCTCTCTATTGTTAGCCAAGGCACCGTTGAAGACCAATCCTGGAGCAACAGTTTGCATTAGGGTGGTGAGAACTCTATCCCAAACATTCTCAAATTCCCACTCAAAGTGTTCAGAAAACTCCGCATCTTGCCAGCGTGTTCGCTTAACAAGACTATGTCATCTGCGTATTCTAGGTCTAACGAAAATTTTCCTGTGATAAGGTCAACGTCTGTGTAACCTGGTGACGAGAGGGAGACCTCCATACGAATATCTATGGAATTGAATAAGAATACTGGTCAGCTGCAAACGGTTTAAACATTTTATACTGTGGTGTATCTTCGCACGCCACAGATGAAAATCAGCTACACTCCTAATAAGTATGCAATCACCAAGGTATCCACAGAGCAGGACTAAGGACTAAACTTTTCTGACACACTGGATACTACTAGCATCTGTAAGGGAATGGTGGTAAAGACGAACGCCATTATGCACTTTCTAAGAAGGCAACTTGGATTGTTGACCCAAGGGTTATTCTCCATGGAATTTAGAACCCATATTACACCACACTTAGAGGTGTTCAACACGATAGCTCTCCCAGTACTAAAGAGAGACGTAAATACTCTCGAAAAGGTACAAAGAGGAGGAACAAAGTTGGTTGTAGGACTAACAGGCATAACCTATGCACAATACCTCAGACAATTCAACTTGTTCACACTAAGCTGTCGAAGAAAACGAGGTGATCTGATAACAGCCTACAAGATCATTCACCAAGTGGACCACCCAATAGGACAACATTATCGGTTCAAAACCGACAATCCCGTCGGCACCCCAACATAGGGCAAAGAAATTCTCCCATAGCGTATGTGCCTTATGGAACGCTCTGCCGAAGGAAGCGGTCATAGCTATATCAGTCAACCCCTTCAAACGACTACTGGATGAGTATGTGAGCCCAAATGGCTTACCACGAACATTTGTCAGTAGTAACTGATGATACACCCTTGTACTCCCCAACTCTAGTATTTGCAATAAGAAGCATCTCTCCTCCATATTATTATCAGTTATATTTATCTCTTCATAAGTACTTCTCACTCCTCTTTTTCTCAAACCCTACTCACCCTGTTTCTATCACTCATTAAGAAACGCTTAACACTTACCTGAAGGTGCCTACAACAAAAAGAATTTCAAACGGTTGTTGATTTTATCAGTATCTACGTTGCCAAGCTACAATTTGCAAATAAAATACATTCAAGTAGACGATCACTACTTTCAAAGCTATAAGCAAGAATACGCAAAAACTTCTGTGACCATCGAAGGAGCACAACCAAACAGAAAGAAACGAGCCTCAAGATCTAGAAGAGAGAGCTACAACTACAGGTTTCCTCTACTCACACTATTGATGTTGGCTCCAGTTCACTCATCCAATAGGAGAAATAATAAGGGAGAAAACCATAACTAGTGCCCCGGAAGTTGCATAGAATCAACTTACATTGAAACGCTATACTTCAATCTGAGGAATGGAACTATTAAGTAAAGAAGGATTATTTGAAGAACATCACAATGCGCAGGTAACGACGCATTTTGATTTAAGACACCTAAAGCATTTCAATATCCAACATTAAATTTCCACAGCAGGAGTAAGGGAATTTTGTAGGATTTAAGCTCTCGATTCTAACCCATGAGGCTCTGCTTTCTTGTATAAACATACTCCCTTGAAAATCACAGAATTTTTTCGTCTTTTTTCGTCATAGTTTTGGAGGTAGTCATGTCTTGTAGGGTCACACACGTCTCCAGTATCAATAGCCTACGGTTCGGCGAGATTCAACATCGATGCTGACCTTGATAGTTTAACTTAACTCACTAAACTGAAGGCACCCAGTCAACCATCCCGGCCATTTGGCACGCTGTCGTGTTACGTTGCACTGCACGTAATCGACCCTCCAGCCAGTTAGTTGGAACGCATCGCTATCTCAGCCCGACCTCGCAAATGTACTGTGTCATCCAACTGTGCCATTGTGTTATCTCCTGGCTTCGTATTCGCGAGTATATAACAAGTATGAATAAATAGTGATTGGCTCCTGCGTCTGTCAAGTTCACACCAGGACAACTCCTAAATTGGTGGGCCCGAAGAGATGACAAATCTTTGACTTGGTGAGCCCGACCAAGAAAAAGCCTAAGACTGGTGAGCCCATCTAATTTCCTACTTTGTATTGTTTTCATTTTGATAACCTTTGTATATTAGTTGACAACTTTCCGCATCCGACGGTACTCCGAAACCTACCCCTATTGAGCCGACGACGAGCACCATCCAGCCCGCGTCATGCTGACCAGATAATGCAGAAACATAGTTTCCCTATATTAAGGCTGATTTTCGAGGACAAGGAGTCCCAGATCCTTATTCTTGAATCCCTACTATCATACGTTCACTACCACGGGAATCAAACAGGCATGTTACAGCGCATATGTTTAGTCCTGAAGTAAGTGTTCCATATGCACTTCTCAAAGCTGCACTCCTGAAAACAAGTGATCTCACAGATCGCCAGTGCCTAGATGACTTGCTTCGTAACATCCAGCTAGGTGGCAACTAAGTCACTGAAGTCCTCGCATGTATGTGAGAAGTTATGGGCACACGAACGTTTGATAACGGCTTTTTCCGAAGACTGTTTCTCCCGAAACTACCACAAGCCGTGTTAGCAGTACTTCAATCAGTTACACTCAACGACCTGGCCACCTCAGAGGATGAAATACTGGAGACCTCTAGTGGACCCAGTCCTAACGTATATTCTGTCTGAGAAAAAAATGGGAGCCATGATTCAGAAGTGATCGAGCTGTGCAACTCTGTAAGACAGCTGATACGAACTCGAAGCCCTGAGTTACGTAGCATACCACAGAAACGCGTCTCAGCCCATTGCAACAACTCATGCGGCTGTCGAAATAACAGATCTAATGGGGTAGAAAACCCTAAACGGTGTTGGTTTTGCAATATCTATGGGGACAAAGCCAGAAAAAGCCGGAAACCATGCCCTTTCAACATGGATGCGAACTCAGGAAGCTGCCACGCCGGTACCTGTCAAACGCGGTCGGCAGACAAAAGCCCTTCGCTTTACGTAACCGATATAAAAACGAAATTTCGCTACCTCGTCGGCGCCGGCACAGATGTTAGCGCCTCTCCCGTACCAACAGAGGACCGTCATCGTGACCCATCCTTCGGTCTTCAAGCAGCTAACGGCAGGGCGATAGCAAGCTTTGGGAGATGGTACGTCCACCTCAACTTTGGTTTGCTCAGACCTATTCCCCGCACTTTCCTCCTAGCTGAAGTTTTCGTGCCCATCATTGGCATAGATTTGCTAAACCACTGCGATCTGCTCTTAGATGCTCGCCGGCGCCGGCTGATGGATAACAGCATGCAGTTATCTATTTGCGGCCCCAACTTCGTAGGTCCGAGTTTCGCCATCGTTAGAACTAAACAATCAGGTGACGCGACCTGTCAGGCAGTGTTAGGGAAATATCCAGAGTTACAGCAACCGATGCATACCCTTCCTTTCATAACCAGCAGCGTTATCCATTACGTCACAACCGCAGGTCCACCTACGGCATTCAAACCAGGCCATCTAGCCCCTGGTAAGCTCAAGACGGCGAAAGGTGAGTGCGACCACATGCTCGAAGTATGCATTATGAAACCTTCAAGTAGCCCTTGGGCGCCACCATTGGACATGGTTCCTAAAAGGGATAGCAATGACTGGCGTCCAACCGGTGATTGCCGAAGGCTTAACGCCAAAACAACACTGGACTGCCACCAGATACCACATATTTACGACTTGGCCGCGACATCATTTGGGATGAACATTTTCTCCAAGATCAATCTGGCAGCAGATATCACAAAAACAGCCGTTATAACTCCTTTTGGTTTGTTTGAATTCCTGCGCATACCATTTGATCTCCGGAATGCAGCACAAACATTCAAACGCTTTGTGGATGATGTCTTCCGTGATTTAAGTTTTGTCTACTTTTACATCGATGACTATCCCATTGCGAGTCCAGATAAAGAAACTCACCTTAAACATTTAGGCCTCGTATTTGGTAGACTGAGAAGACATGGCATCACGGTCAACTTGCAGAAATGTGAAATAGGATTTGAATCGCTCATCTTCCTTGGGCATACCACTGACACCAATACGAATTAGATGTTACATTGCTCCTGCACATCGGTACTCTGCACGGTCTAATAGGTCTCCTGTATGTCCAGGAAAAAATTTAGGAGCACATACCGCTTCATTTTCCCAGGAAAGCAACCTCCTAAACATCATACCCCTCTTTTGGGACGTTGACGAATACCATCTTCAGGAGACACCCACTTGGATACATACAGCGTGACGCAAGAAATTACAGCTGAGTAAACAAAGGAATTAAAACGGGGACTAACTTAAAGAGAAGTTAATTGTCCGTTTCACTTTATTTAGTCACAAACCAACGCCGTAAACTTCCAGACGGTTGTTTCGCAATGCACTTTACCTAAACTGTAAGGAAACATTCTCTAATAACTGTCATATTTGTTACATAAGTCGTTGCCGAGCCCTCTGCAACTGCTGGTTATACTACTTGTTTTTCGGTATTAACGAACCCAATAAACAACTAGCTGCTACTGCTTAGAGCCGATGGTGCGACGGAAGGCTTGGGCAAATCCTCTAACTACTCCCGAAAACAGGCACACTATCTCTAAAAGGAGATCTCACTGCCTACAGAAGTGGAAAGCCGGTCCCCGTCTCGCAACTTCACGTGAACCACCACTAAACCAATTGCCACGCTATCGACTCAACAATCTACTGAAGACATTGTCATGTCGTTACCAGGGGTTACTCAGCCTATAAGCATACCGAGCAGCAGCCACAAGCACCCTGTCACCATCAGACCGTCCCGGAGCCTAGCGCGTAAGCAGTTCAATTTACTCTGACATCAGCCAGTGCATGACTCATATACATCAAACGGGTAGATGAAGAATAGTGCAGATAGGGCTAAACCCTTATACAAACCCTACCAGGAGCCCAGCCAGGTTAATCGAATTGCTGAAAAATCAATTACGTAGCCAAGCAAATAGACGAAATAGCAATACGAATAACCAAAAGACCATGGCACCCTTGCAAAGCCACACCGAGAAAAATGCCAGACGTTATTTCTCGGTTCACTCTATGACCAAACCAAACAACTACTGTTCGGGCAATCTATATTTCTTGACGCTTCCGCAATCACTTACAGACACACCACGGCCAGACCCCTCGACGGTCGCAGCCATTGGATAGTGAGCCGGATGGTAGTCACAGACTATGCGCTCCACCTCACCCATATGCCGCAAAGTGTGGGTCATACTCCACACAAGGACAAACTTGTGATAGATCCCCTAGGGAGAAACTTGGCGAATATACAGTTGACTATGGGCATAACGCACACAGCAGCCAGCAGATAGGCGTGCCATACAATCCACCAGTCTCCATTACTTTCTATGAAAAGGGTTTTTTGGACAGTCTACGGCTGCAACGCCACAGTAGTGCAAGCGATTCGGGTGCTGTCGGATCATGTGTTCTCTGACTTGACCAACAGTCTCTGTACTAATCACAATGTGGTGAATACCTAGCTTGTTCCGGGATAAGCAGTACCGAATCGTCGCCCTGTACCACAGGTCATGACATCGCTGGCACGATGTACGCAAAGAACCCACAAGGAATGTAGAGAAGTACTGACCATTTTTGAGATAAATCCAGACACCTTTGTGCCCTTAACTTGATCCCGTTTTGCCTGATTAACGCCCACTCTATACGCAACAAAATGAGGGGGATTATGCCTCTCTGATGTTTGATATGTCTGTGATAAAGGCTACAGACATTTGTGACACGGAGATCTCCATCGACAACTGTCCCTTGTTCAGGAGGGACAGACCACATGATAAGGAAGGAGGGTGCATTATCTACATAAAGTCCGAAATCACTGCTACGCAGTGCCCAACCTCTGAGCTAAACGAGATTGACGACTCAGTGTGGGTTATCTCCAAGCTTACTCACTCCACATCCCTTCCAATGAGATTCATTTACCTATCCCCTTGCTCCTCAGTCTAGTGCGACGAGAAGCTAACAAGCTTGTTCGCCCATGTGGTAACACTACCATACAGCGAAAATTGTATGTGGTGACCCTAACATGCCATACATAACGTGGCAGCCAACCAACTATTTAAAGCGCTTTGATAAATTCATAAGCATTCTTGGAACAGAGGGTTGGCAATAACATGTGGAACACCCTACCAGGTACACTAGTGCCATGGAGCTGGTCTTCGCAAACGAAACCACACCCATAAAACTCTAAGTAGGCGCATGGTTCCCAGGTAGCGATCACACGATAGTATGTGGGTACTTCAACATATCGATCACAAAACTAGCCCGAAGGACAGGAACAGTTCTAACTAGAAACTACAAGTATGCTACATGGGGTGAGCTACAGTTGTTTCTGCGTTGCCTGGTTT